GTTTTACTATAGGCCACAGCAACGCGTGGCAGGGCACAGCTAGTTATCTATATAAATAAAAATGTAATGTTTGTTTGTGGGATTAACATAACTCAAAACCTCTGGACGAATTGACACCAAATTTGGACACTATACACCTATCAGACCAAGGAGTGACTATCACTCATAAAAACACAGAAAAACACAGTGGAAGAGACTTAAACAGCCAAAAAGTAAATACATTATAATGCATGCACAGAGCCACATATATACACATATACACATACATACACACACAAAATACATATACACAGACTGGGTCACAGTAATGCGTGGCAGGGGATGGCTAGTCGTGCTATAAACATGTAGTGTGAATGCTCTCCTGGATATAAGTCTACCATATTTCACCGCATAATAGTCGCATTTTTTCAGCAAAAGGGGGTGTGACTATTATGTGGTGAAAATTAATTCTAGCTAAAGGGCTTCACTGGACTGGCAGGTGAGTAAAGCCCCATAGCGCCAAGGAAAGAGGGCGGGCATGCAGGGAAGTGAAGATTCAGTTGGCTGCCACCTGAGTGAATCTTCATAGCTCCAAAGCAGCAGGAGTACAAGTGAGTAGCACCCTTTATTCACTTGCCAAGGCAGATACCAATTTTGCCATCCCATAAATGGGGGTGCAACTATTAGGTGGCAACTATCATGCATGGAAATAGATATAACCTTGTCTATGCCAACATTCTAGTCATTGTGCAACAAAATAGCTAAGTATAAACAAATTGTCCCGACACAATAGAATCTACAAATGTTCATTGCAATCGTCTAGCAATTGCCTTTCACCTTTTATGAAAAACGATACACAATCAGCTGTATTTGACAATTGTTGTTCACTCTTACAGAATTTCCTCCACAGCCGGACCAACAACCAACGTTACTGGATAGGACTCAGTGACAGGAATTTTGAAGGAGAGTGGAAATGGATGGATGGAAGTGACAGTCAAAATGGCTTCACGTAAGCACTGAGCATCTATCAGCTCTTTCAAATGTGTCTGAAAGAATTAGAGGAGGAGATATTGTCCTTTCATTTGAATTCTTTCATTTTGTTGTTTTTCTGCTCCTTCAAATTGTTTACAACTTATGGCAAAACTATTATAGGGTTGCCTTAGCAGGATTTGTTGCGAGGATTTTACCACCACCCAGTGAGTTTCCATAGCTGAACAAGGAGTTGACTCTAGTCTCTCAGAGTTCTAGTCTAATATCCAAACCATGATGCCACCCTGACTGCCTTCTTACATTTTGTTGTTTGGTGCCTTCAAGTTGTTTCCATCTTATGGCAACCCTAAGGCAAACCTTTCTCGGCATGATTTGTTCACCCTTTATCTTCCTCTGCCCAAAGGTCACTCATGACTGAGTGGAGATTTGAATACTGGTTTCCAATGTTGTAATTCAATGCTCAAACCATTACACTATACTGGATTTCTTATATTTTTACCAGTAGTTCTAAAAACTCTAAATAGTTGGGATGTTACGCTGTGCATCTATCCAACAAAGATTCAAACAGATAACTGTAACTAAGGCTGTTTCTACACTGCCACATAATACAATTTGAAGTGTATTATATGGTCTATGTTATACTATATCAAACAATTTTAATTGCATTGAATTGCATTATAATTTGAACGAAGCTATATGCCAGTGTAGAACCAACCTAAAGGTCTTCCAAATATCATTTTATCAAAAACTGTATCATAAAGTATCAATTACGTACTATCCTTAGCACATCTCTAGTTCCTGACCTTAGATACCCTTGCTTTTTGTTTCACCGGGTCATTCACAACTACCATAATCCAGATCAGAAAAATATAGGAAGAGTTAATCTTTCAATGTATTGTTGAAGACTTTCATGGCTGGGATCACTGGATTATTGTAGGGTTTTTGGACTGTATGGCCATGTTCTAGAAGCATTCTCTTCTGACGTTTCACCTGCATCTATGGCAGGGATCCTCAGAGTTTGTGAGGTAACAACCCCTCAGAATGCCTGCCATAGATACAGGCGAAACATCAGGAGAGAATGCTTCTAGAACATGGCCATACAGCCCGAAAACCCTACAACAACTCAGTTAATCTTTCCCTTAATATGACTGCATACTGGGCCAAAAGTTACAAAGGGGTCTGATGAACAATTAAAATAAAAAATACAATATTCAAGTTACAAGAAGTAATGTAAATTTATTTCCTACATATGCATAGTATGCTATGGTACTGTAAATGAAAAACCAAAATAAAAGAGTTACTAAAAGTTAAAACCTATTTGTGACTTTTAGCTTACCCTATACCTTGCAGCTTTGGGGAAAGGGGGTGCTTTGTGGAAGTTGATATTCAATCAGAACAGAGCTCATAAGAAGGATTTATACTACATTCTCAGATAAACAAAGAGCCTTTGTGTACTTTGCAGCAGAACAAAGCTAGTTGAAATCCATCACACAAGAGAAAACTCTTACAAACACTCCTTCCATCAGTTCAATTCAACAATATCCCTGATCCCTGTTTTCAGCCGCAACATTATCACAGGGTTTTAGACCAAAGCAATAGAGAGCCAAGTTTGTTAAAGTCTGGATATGCTGGTTTTTTTCTAAAAGAATTTTGCTTCAACCATAGCTATTGGGGAGAAGGAGAACCCAACGACAATAGTGATGGTGAGGACTGTGCACATCTCTGGATGAATGGACAATGGAATGATGTCTACTGCACGTATCCATGCAACTACATTTGTGAGAAGCCTGCGCAATTATGAAATGTCCCCATGGCACAGAGAAATTGTTGTCCTAACTGTCTACTGCTGCAGACATTATTCGAATGCAGAAGACAAATCAGACAGAAATGGGTATAAGTCAAAACCAGAGGTTTATTCTCAATGGCCAAAAAATATGTCTGCGAAGAAAGCACTCCAAAGTACTGACATACTGCAATTGTGAGCACAGAACACTTTGTTTTCATTTGACAGATATTCAAGAAACCCATGCCAGCTCCTGATTGGTTGAAAAATTGTCTGGCTTAGGATTTGGGTTCTGAGTGGTTCAGGACTCCATCTGACGTCAACACCGGTTGGCTCTTTATAGTGGCAGAAAATTCAATAAACTGTCAATAAACAGACTCAAGGCGAATGAGTGGTTTCGTTTCCTTTTCTGCAAATGCAAATACGGTGACTTGTAAGCACAGACCTCACCTCTGAGGAAGTTTGCCATAGATGCAGGCGAAACGTCAGGAGAAATGCCTCTAGAACATGGCCATATAGCCCGAAAAAACCCACAAGAACTGAGTGTCACTGAAGTATTTGAAGTGTCATTTCTTTAATCGTCCACCTCTGAGAGGGCATGATCTGAAAGGGATGTGATGTGATGTCAGGTATTGAGTCCATGTTGACATCAATGGTCTGGCTCCAATTGGCTGGGGATGATATAGGTGAAGCTGGTTTGAGGCATCTGTGCCAGATCTTTTCCACAACCCCGATCTTATCAATGGAATCAGTAAATGGCCCTGGGAGCTCTGACATGCATCCATTGAGTATTTTCACCTTGTCTCCCAGTTCATTGTGAGGGGATTATGAAAATTAAAGAGTGGATGCGACCAGACAACATAACAAAGGTTTAGGTTAGGTACGAGCACATGTTCACTAAATCTGACAGAGCAGTACTGGCTTCTATTTCATATTTTTATACATTTCATTATACATTTCACAATTTGGGGGTCTGATTTCTTGATATCATGGATGTGAATACACCCATTAGTTATACCCTCTGCCTCTTGGTGTGATGTTTATATACTAATGGTCTCTAGATTATTTCAGTTCAAACTAATAGTATTTGAAGCATAAACCACTGCATCCTTTGAGCTAGTTTTATCTTTGACTCTCTAAAACAATCTGGTTCTCAGTATCACTGTGAACAATAAATTAAAGGAGATCATCAGTAAATTACATATTTTGTATGAGAAAAAGACAGTGTGGGATATCCCTCATTACATAGATAAGTGTGTAGAAGGGAGAACAGTTATGTTATCCAACATAAACGGGCTAGCAGAATGTTGGATAAGCAAAAATGTTGGATAATAAGGAGGGATTAAGGAAAAGCCCATTTAAACGTCAAATTAAGTTATGATTTTACAAATCAGGCACCAAAACATCATGTTTTATAATAAGTCAACAGAAAAAGCAGTTCAATACACGGTAACATTATGTAGTAATTACTATATGAATTTAGCACCAAAACATTGCAATGTATTGAAACAACTGTGGATCCAGGCGGTAGGCAGACTGCGTTGGATAATACAGAATGTTTATTTATTTATTTATTTATTTATTTATTTATTTATTTACTTCATTTGTATACCGCTATTCTCAGCCCTAAGGCGACTCATAGCGGTTTACAACAATCAAGCAAAAACAAGGCAAAACAATCAAGGCAAAAATTCAATGTGGCATCAACAAGGTACTTAAAAACAATTAACACAGAAGCAGATTAAACAATTTAACAGTAGTAAACATTAAAGTGGCGTCTCATAACTAGAATCATGATCCAAACTCGTCAATCGTAGTTCCATTCCTGAATTCATTGCACTGCCCATTCAAATGCCTGTTCAAATAACCAGGTTTTCACTTTTCTCTGGAATACCATCAATGAGGGAGCCAATCTAATGTCCGTGGGAAGGGCGTTCCACAGCCGAGGGGCCACCACCAAGAAGGCCCTGTCTCCCGTCCCCACCAGACGTGACTGTGTTGCAGGCGGGATCGAGAGCAGGGCCTCCCCGGAAGATCTCAAAGTCCTAGTGGGTTCATAGGTGGAGATGCGATCGGATAGGTAACTTGGGCCAGAACCGTTTAGGGCTTTATAGGCCAAAGCCAGCACTTTGAATTGGGCCCGGTAGTAAATTGGTAGCCAGTGGAGCTGGCGCAACAGAGGGGTTGAATGCTCCCTGTGTGCCGCCCCTGTTAGTATCATGGCTGCCACACATTGGACCAACTGAAGCTTCCGAGTCGTCTTCAATGGCAACCCCATGTAGAGAGTGTTGCAGTAGTCTAAATGGGATGTAACAAGAGCGTGGACTATCGTGGCCAAGTCAGACTTCCCAAGGTACGGGCGCAGCTGGCGCACAAGCTTTAACTGTGCGAATGCTCCCCTGGTCACAGCTGAAACCTGGGGTTCCAGGCTCAGCGTTGAATCCAAGATCACACCCAAGCTGCGAACCTGCGTCTTCAGGGGGAGTGCGACCCCATCCAGCACAGGTTCGAACGTTGGATGAGCGAAGGTTGGATAAGCAAGACACTACTATATAGTCAAGCCATAAAACACTAATCAAGAAAGCAACAGAGTAGACGGTACAAATACACAACACACAACAAGAACACACATACTGTCTACCTACCTGTATTGTGTCTACCAATATTACCTCCTAGAATGCATCTGCATGGTAGAATTGATCTGGTTTGAAATCACTTTAACCAACATGGCACAATGCCATAGGATCATGAAGTTTGTTGTTTGGTGAAGCACCTGCGCTCTTGCAGAGAAGGCTAAGGACCTTACTAAATTACAGTTTCTGTGATTCCATACCATTGAGCCATGGCAGTTAAAGTGGCTATTCCAGAAGGCAGTAATTATATAGTGTAGATGCGCCCTTAGTAGCTGACAGTGTGCTGTGCAAGTATGGTTGAACCTTTCTTCATTTCCACCAATATATGTCTAGAAGTATTGCATTGCTGTGTAATACAAAAAGCCTATGGCAATTATTTCTGATAATACCTGAACAAGTAGAAGTAAAATTTATTAGAAATCAACACCAACACTTGGGATGAACTGTGCAAATCCTGCAAAGGAAGAAACCTGAAAAGCTAAAGAACACACCCAGAAAGCTGACTGGAGCTTTTGGAAATAACCCCTATGGGTTTCATCATTCTCCTGTGGGGTTCTTGCAGTTAATAGCCATTGTAGATATACTGTAATATTATTATTTTTATTTATTTATTTATTTATTTACAGTATTTATATTTTGCCCTTCTTACCCCACAGGGGACTCAGGGCAGATTACAATGCACATGTACATGGCAAACATTCAATGCCATGTAGACATACAACATATATAGACAGACACAGAGGAATTTAGCGTTCCAGCTTTTACGGCTTCATGAGGGTATCTTTGATTCCGACCACAGGGGGAGCTGCCGCTTCACTTTCCACTTGTGACACCGAGTCCTTTAATGGAGTACTTCCTCATTCTTCTGCATGCTGCTGGGAGGTTGTATGGTGTCATAAATTAGTTAAATTAGCCTCCCCGCATAAAGCGGTACCTAAATTTCCTACTAGACAGATGCAACTGTCTTTGGGCTGCATAGGTCAACGGAAAGCTAGACTATTAATGCTCGGGAGCTTACTCCAACACGGACTGGCTTCAAACTCATGACCTCTTGGTCAGTAGTGATTTAATGCAGCTGGCTGCTAACTAGCTGCCCCACAGCCCAGTTTTACTAGCCCTCACATCACTACAGAATTCTTCATTTAATTCTCTATAATTTATTGGTTTAATATTCAGTTCTCTCTTCTCTTCAAATGTTATTTTATCTTTATGGCCAAAATCCAATAGTTAGATCTAACTGGGGCTGTTAGATCTAACTGAGGTCACGGAGCTAAGTGTTGATTTCTCAAATATTTGTTGGTTCAGTGAGATAATTCCAGTTGGGATTAACTGGAGTCACACTTATTTAGACTTCTTCATATATGTTGTTTGCATATGTCTACTGCATATTTGTGTTGTGTTATAATTTGCTTTCCTCTGTAAATAATGGACTTTGTCTGTTAAATATATCAGTTTTATTATTATTTTCAGGATGTTTCATGTTCATGACTTGATTTCATTAGCAGTGCTAATAAGGCTTAGCCTGATGTTTGAAGTGAAGCTGAGATCAGCACATCAATCAGATAGCATTTAAGTCTCATCTTTGCAGCAAATTGCTGAATAGAGGCTTTTGAGGGAAGTTGACTGGGGCAAGCATTAAAATGATTTCTGAAATGCCAACACTAAAACATTGCATTGAAATCTGCATGATTTGTTTTCATAGATTATATCCTGTGATATTAATATATTAATATTACATTGTGAAATAATACTATAGCACCAGCCCTTGATTGATTTCTCTTTTATATTCAGAAGAAATAAAATGTAACATATTTGTTAAATGGATGTGCCAATTCATTTCAGTTTCATACAGCAAAGTCACATATATTTCTTTTATCTGCATCTGCAGAGTCAGCTCTAAACTTTCCTGGAGTAAGGGTCACAGGACCTCAAAGAAAATAGAAAAAAATGCAAATAAAAGAGGCTGGGTTTTTTAGCTGAGGAATTTCTAGGTCCTCTGGTATGACTCTATGGTCAACTTCCATCAGAGGCCCCTTCTACACAGCTGAATAAAATCCCACATTTTCTGCAGTGTGGACTCAAATAACCCAGTTCAAAGCATATAGTGTGGGATTTTCTGCCTTGATATTCTGAGTTATATGGCTGTGTGGAAAGGCTCAGAGTTGTGCTGGAGGATCCAGGATTTCCTAGAGAGAACATTTTAATCAAATCCACAAATAATCAAATTCTGAAAAGTCAAACCTGTAAATGTGGAATGTCATACTTTAGAAATGATTAATTAATTAATTAATATTTTAGAAATTATTCATTAATGCTCCACAGACATGTAACCAAAAAACCTACATTATAACCATGACTTTTTTGTATTGTCGAAGGCTTTCATGGCCGGAATCACTGGGTTGTTGTAGGTTGTTGTAGCACTACCTCTGAGGATGCTTGCCATAGATGCAGGCGAAACGTCAGGAGAAAATGCCTTTAGAACATGGCCATATAGCCTGAAAAAACCTACAACAACCCATGACTTTTTTGTTATAGACTATATCCCATGCTGGTCCACAATATTGTTGATGGATCTTGAGATTATAGTAAAGAAAATGAAGTGGAACCGAGAAGCAGACAACACATTTATCCTTGATGTGAAACTTATGTATTCTTAAAAATTGAATTTGTGGATGATCCGTATGAAGATATAACATTTTAATGGTGTTGGGAAGC